CAAAAAAGTATAAAAAGAATTATATACCACAACCAAGTGGGATTAATCCCAGGTATGAGAGACTGTCCAAGAATCAAAAATCAATTAGTATAATCCATCATATCAACAAACTGGAAAAGAAAAATCATATGCACATATCAACAGGTACAAAGAAAAAAAAAGGTATTTGACAAATCCAATACCTATTCATCATAAAAACTCTCAGTAAATTGGAATGGGGGAATTTCCTCAACATTATAAAGAATATGTACCAAAAACTCTACAGCTAGCATCATACTTAATGGTGAGAAACTCAAAGCTGTCTTACAAAGATCACATACAAGGAAAAGATGTCCCCTCTCGCCAATTCCTTTTCAACACCATACTGGAAGTCCTTGCTAATGCAATAAGGCAAAAAAAAAAAAAAAGAAAGAAAGAAAGAAAGAAAGAAAAAGTTTACAGATTGGTAAGACTAAAAAAAAAACAAAAAACAAAAAAACCTGTATTTATTAGCAGATGACTTGATCATTTATTTAGAAAATCTGAAAGAATCAAAAAAATTCCTGGAACTAATAACTGATGTAGCAAGGTTTCAGGATACATGGTTAACATACGAAGTCAATTGTTTTCCTATATACCAACAATGAACAAGTGAAATTTAAAATTAAAACACAACACTATGCACATTAGCATCCCCTCAAATGAAATATTTAAGTATAAATCTAACAAAATATGTACAAGTTTTCCCCTATGAGGAAAACTATAAACTCCAATGAATTAAATAAAAGAGCTAAATAAATGGAGAGGCATTCCTCGTTCATGGACGGAAGGATTCAACATTGTCAAGCTGTCAGTTCTTTCCAACTTGATCTATAGATTCAAGGCAATCTCAATAAAAATCCCAACAAGCTGTTTCAAGGATATCAGCAAAGTGATTCTAGAGTTTTATGAGGTGATGTAAAAAACTCAGAATAGCCAACAGTTTAATATCAAAGAAGACCAAAGTTAGAGGATCAGCATTACCCAGCTTCAAGACTTACTACACAGTTATGGTCATCAAAACAGTGTGGTCCTCATGAAAGAATGAGCAAACGGATCAGCAGAATAGAAAAGAGAGTTCAGAAATAGACTCCCACAAATTACAGCCAATACAATGGAACAAAGTCTTTTCAATAAATGGTGCTTGAACAACTGGACATCCACATGCAAGATTGAAAAAAAAAGAATCTAGAGAGATTTTTCCACCCTTCACAAAAATTAACCCAAAATGGCTCATAGGCCTAAACACGAAATGCAAAGTTGTAACAATCGTGTCTGACCCTTTGCAGCCCCATGAACTGCAGCATGCCAAACTTCCCTGTGCCTAGTCTCTCAGTCATGTCCAACTCCCTGCGACCCATGGACTGTAGCCCACCAGGTTCCTCTGTCCACGGGGATTCTCCAGGCAAGAATACTGAAAGGGTTGTCATTCCCTTCTCCAGGGGATCTTCCCAACCCAGGGATCAAACCCAGGTCTCCCACATTGCAGGCGGATTCTTTACCATCTGAGCCACCAGGGAAGCCCAAGAATACTAGAGTGGGTAGCTCATCCCTTCTCCAGGTGATCTTCCTGACCCAAGAATCGAACTGGGGTCTCCTACATTGCAGGCAGATTCTTTACCAGTTGAGCTACGAAGGAAAGATTGAGGGCAAGAGGAGAAGGGGGCAACAGAGGATGAGATGATTGGATGGCATCACTGACTCAGCAGACATGAGTTTCAGCAAACTCCAGGAGATAGTGAAGGACAGGCTTCCCATGGACTGCAGACTTCACTATCTCCTGGAGTCAGTGATGCCATCCAAGCATCTCATCCTCTGTTGCCCCCTTGCCCTCTTGCCCTCAATCTTTCCTAGCATCAGGATATTTTCCAATAACATTCTGAGGAGATAATTAACAACTTCTGCTCTGTGAAAGACATCAACAGAATGAGAAGACAAGCAACAAATTGAGAGAAAATGTTTGCAAAAGACACATCAGATAAAAGACTGCTATTAAAAATACACAAAGAACTCCTAAAACTCAACAATAAAAATAACTACCTGAATAAAATACGGGCAAAAGACCTTAACAGACATCTCACAAAAGAAGATACACAGAGGGTAAATAAGCATATGAAGATGTTCCGCAGCAAATGATATCAAGGAAATGAAAATTAACACAATCTGATACTACTGCACACCAATTAGAATGGCCAAATTCTGGAACATTAGCAACACCAAATGCTGTCAAAATATGGAGCAACAGAAATTCTCATTCACTGCTGGTGGGAATGCAAAATGGTACAGCCAGTTTTGTGATTTCTTTAAAACTAAATATATTCTTGCCATCTGAACCAACCATCGTTCTCTTTAGTACTTACCCAAAGGAGCTGAAAATTTATGTCCACACAAAAATGTGCACACAAATGTTTACAGCAGCTTTATTCATATTGCCAAAATTTGGAGGCAGCCAAGATGTTCTCAAGTAGTTGAATGGATAAACTAAGGTGCATCTAGATAATGGAAAATTGAAATGAAGTGAAAGTCGCTCAGTCATGTCCGACTCTTTGCGACCCCATGGACTATACAGTCCATGGGATTCTCCAGGCCAGAATACTGGAGTGGGAAGCCGTTCCCTTCTCCAGGGGATCTACCCAACCCAGGGTTGAACCCAGGTCTCCCACATTGCAGGCGGATTCTTCACCAGCTAAGCCACCAGGGAAGCCCTGGATAATAACATAATGGAATGTTCTTCAGCACTTAAAAAAAAAAATGAGCTATCAAGCCATGAAAAGACATAGAGAAACCTTAAATTGCATGTTGGGTAAGTGAAAGAAGTCAATCTGAAGAGGCTACACACTGTATTATTCCAACTATATGACATTCTGAAAAAGGCAAAACAGTGAGGACAATGGAAAGATCAGTGGTGGGAGTCATGGAGGGATGGACAGGCAGAGCACAGAGAAGTTTTAGGATACTGAAAATATTCTGTGTCACGTTACAATGATGGATATATATTATCATACATTTGTCCAAACCCACAGAATGTACAATACCAAGAGTGAACTCTAATGTAACCTATAGACTTTGAGTGATTATGATGTGTCAATGTAGGTTCATCTTTGGTTAAAAAAAAAAAAAAGCACCATTCTGATGAGTAATTGGGAGGCTATTGCATGTATGGGGGCAGAGAGTATATGGAAATCTTGGTACCTTCCTCCCAATTTTGTTCTGAAACTTAAACTGCTCTTTAAAAAATTAAGTCTCTACAGTTTTTTTCAAATAAAATACTTAAAAGTGGGCAAAAGATATTAATAGGCACCTAACCAAAAAAAGATATACAGATATCACATCAGCATATTAAAAGAGGCTCAACATCATATGTTATTAAGGAATTAGAAGCTAAAAAAATGAGATACCATTACACACTTATTAGAATGGCAAAAATGCAAAACACGGGCAGTACCAACTGTTGGAAAGGAATGTGAAGCAATAGGAATTCTCATTTATTGCTGGTGGGAATGTAAAGTGATACAGCCAGTTTGTTAGACCATGTTCTTAAAAAGATAAATGTAGTTTCACCCTATAGTCCAAAAATCACACTCTTAGATATTTACCCAAATGAGCTGGAAATGTATGCCCACACAAAAACCTGAACATGAATGCTTATTCATGAATATGAATGCTTTATTCATAATTGCCAAAATTTTCCAAACAACCAAGGTGTCCTTCAACAGATGGATGGATAAATAAACTGTGGTCCACCCCAACAACCAAATATTATTCAGCACAAAAAAGAAATGAGCTATCAAGTCATGAAGAGACACAGAGGAACCTTAAATGAACGTGGGTAAGTGAAAGAAGCCAATTTGAAGAGGCTACATACTATGCAATTCCAACTATATGACATTCTGGAAAAGGCAAATGACAGACAGTAAAAAAGATCAGTGGTTGCTGGGGTTAGGCAGGAGGGACCACATTTAGGTTTCTGCAGACAAAAGCCAGGTGGGACCCTCAAGTTAATCCAGAAAGAATCATACCCAGGGGCTCATTTTGGGAGTCTGGGAAAACAGACACACTACCACCTTGGGACGTGAAACAACACAAGGGACCAGGGAAATCTTTCTTCCAAGGAGGCAATGAGGAAGGCAAGGCTCAGCAGCCAGAGAAGCCAACTGCACTGTCACACCCGGCACAGTGCACGGGGCCGTCGGCCCCAGGTGAGAGCACCCCAGGTGAGAGCACATGTGTGTGCTTGCGTCTGTGTGTGGACAGGTCTGCACACACGCAGGCGGGTGGCAGCATCTGGGTCTGCCTGAGACTAAATCTTCATCGGGAATTCCACATCAGCTCTGCCCCTGGGAACGTTTTCTCTGTTCCTGGTGCTCACGAAACACTGGCGCCCTTGCACATAGTGAAGCGCTCGCCTTCCTGTGCCCTCAGTTCTGCACACGGTCAGCTGCGGAACCACCGTTCCTTCAGGACCTCAAGCAAAGGCCTGGGAGGAACCGCAGAGCAGGCACCATGCAGCGTGGAAGACCACCACCCTGAGACCGTCCTCCTCTCCCCTACTAACTCCGACCTCAGTCTGGCCTGTGGCCGCAGGCCCTGGCACACTGGTATGACGGTGAAGAGCCGTAACTGTGCTGTGGCCTGTCTCCCCGAGGAGACTCGGCCCCGCGAGGACAGCCCGTCACGCTCCCTCCTGCTGTGCCTCTGCATTCTACACCACGCCTGACACTTACCTGACAACTTGCAAATATTTTTGGAAGGGAGGAAACTAAGGCTTAAGTGACATGTAACAGTGACAGTGCTCCTCTGGGGCCCTGGAAAGCAAAGGGACATGGAGGCACAGATGCTGACAACAAAGACTCTCCAGCTGAGAACAATTCAGAGGCAAGCTCTGTCCCCAGATGGCCACTGTGGAGCAGGAGGGAAAGAAGGAGCACAAACTGGGCCCACACAAGGCGGGCCCTGCCTAGCTGCTGTGGGGAGATACTCACTGGGAGTAACCGTGGTCTCCCCGGGAGGCCCGGTCAGCGTCACTGGAATATGCACAGTGGTGCTCAGATCCGAGGGCTGACTGCCCATACGAGTAACATTCCGCTGATTGTCTGCATCCTCTGGCTGTTCTTCCACCTTCTCTAGACAAGTGCTGGGCAGGGCATGCACAGGGCCCACACCAATTACCACAGTGGCCTCCAGGTCACAGTGCGACTCCCTGCAACCAATAAGGCACATCAGAGTGATGTAGCCCCAAACTCCTATTCTGTCTGCAAAACCCAGCTTCTTAAACCCCTAACCAGATCAAATAAATCCCTGACCACCTCCTCTGTTCTGATTTTTATCATCCTATACATTCTGTGTTTTGGGGTCTGAAAGGTAGGGTTGCAGCTGACTCACCTGTTTTTCCCTGGCAAAAGGCCAGGCATGGCTGACATCACATTATGTGTATATAACAGAACTGCTTTCTGAATGAAGAAGCCTGGAAGAGGATGTTACCCTAAGCCACCCTTCCTGGAGCCCCACCAGGGCCAAGCACAGAGCTCTGCAGAGACAGTGCTTAGGTGGGGCTGATCCTGAGCTGCAGCCTCTGACTATGAGAGTTCTGGGTGGTCTGTGACCTGTGGTCTCAGCCTAGCAGCTCCTGTTACCCCCAGGCTCTCACAGTCACCCTGGGATCCCGTCCCAGCTGCAGGGCCAGGCTGGCTGGCCTGGGGAGGGAATAGGGCGGGGTCCTTTCTGTCATAGGCACACAGCCCAGCCCCCTTCTGTTAGACCATTTAGCCTGGAGGCCTCCTCCGGTTTCCCCCAGGCTCTCCTGATCCTCCTTCCTTCACAGTGCTCCCCGTGTTTCTCTTCTCTCTGGGTCATCTTGTTCTTTCCAAGTCTTCCTGTTCAAAACCAGTCCCAACGATCTTGCCCTAAGCCTCCCTTCCCCCTGGGCACCTTGAAAGTGAAAGTGAAGTGGTTCAGTCCTGTCCAACTCTTTGCCACCCCATGGACTGTAGCCCACCAGGCTTCTCCATCCTTGGAATTTTCCAGGCATGAGTACTGGAGTGGTTGCCATTTCCTTCTCCAGGGGATCCCCCCGACCCAGGGATTGAACACAGGTCTCCCGCACTGCAGGCAGACGCTTTACCGTCTGAGCCACCAGGGAATCACCCGGGCACCTTGCTGCTGCTGCTGAGTCACTTCAGTCGTGTCCAACTCTTAGCGACCCCGTGGGCTGCAGCCTACCAGGCTTCTTTGGCCATGGGATTTTCCAGGCAAGAGTACTGGAGTGGGGTGCCATTGCCTTCTCCGCACCCGAGCACCTTAGACTAGGCTAAATTTCCCTGAGCCAAGCTCCCCAGCATGCGGGTGAAAGCATTTCTCACACAGCCCCAACAAGGCGGACTGTCCCCACCCGGGGCCGCCCTCCTGGCCCGTGCCCCCGCCCCGCGCTGACTCACCTGGGCTGGTGGTTCCGGGGCTCCTTGTCCCTGTCCCTGTCCTCCGCCTCGGCCTCCTTCTCCGCCTCCTCGTGTGCGGGTGGCGCCTTGTGTCGCGCTCGGTGCCGCCGGGCGGGCTCCTCCCCGCTCTCAGCCTCCCGGGGGCCGTTGCCCGCTCCTCCCGGGCCCCCGGGTCCCCGCCCTCCGCCTTCGGGGCATCCGCCCTGTCCGGCTCCCCCGCCGGGGCCGCAGCCTTGTCCCTGTCCCTGTCGCGGTGCCGGTGGTGCCTGCGTGGCGGGTCAGTACCCTCGCCGGCCTCCCCGCCCTCGGGCCGGACCTTGCCCCCCGCGGGCCCCCGCGCGCCATCCCGGCCTGGCTCCACCACAAGCGGCCGGTCCAGGTGCGTCTTCATGTCGGGCCGCAGGTGGCGGGAAGTGGCGAAGCGCAGCCGCTCCTCAGGGTCCATCTCGCTATACAGCGCTTCACAGCTGGCCCGCAGGTTCTGCAGCCGCAGCTGGCTGGCCCGCTGCTCCCACACCGAGCGCGCCTTGGCCGAGTTCTGCTGCCTGCTGTGGGGAGACCGCCCCTGTGAGCCCCCTGCACTGCCTCCCACCTCTCTGCTTCGCAGGGGAAGCCACTGATGGACACAGAGCGATGGACAGATGGCAGAGGACGCAGGGACGCAGGGCAAGAGGAGGGAAGAAGGTGGCAGGAGTCTTGGCCAGCCCAGCAGAGTGGATGGGCTGAGTCGGTGGCAGATACCCCGAGTAACAGACCTCGTCCCTACGCCCCTTGTGGGGGAGCCCACAGACTGTGAGAGCCTCACCTGAGGTGGGGGCCCCAGGCCGGAGGGCACAAGGGGTGCAGGGCAGTGGGAATGGCAGGCGCTAGCATGAGGTGGCAGACAGCCTTCTCAGGCAGGTGGGCCACCTGCCAGGAAGGCCAAAATGGGGCAAGGAGCGGGGCAGCGTCCAAATGGAGTGGGACTGGGGTTGGAAGGCTGCCCAAGGAGGGGCTTCTTCATCTTTCCCTCCAGGAGGAGAGTCACTGGCCGGAAGGACACAGAGGGTGTTTGAGAGGGAACTCAAGAAGAGGCGGGTCATCAGGAGCAGAGGGGAGAGGGGCCCAGGGAGTGAGGGGCCCTGGGACAGCTGGCCCTCAGGAGTCGGGCAGGCACTCTCCCTGAGCTGGTCAGACCCATTTGGGCAGTGACCATTGCTGAAGGCCCAGGAGCCCAGCGTCAGGTCTGGGGCTGGACACCCCCTCTTGTGGTCACCAGTACCCCCTCTCTCCTGGCTCCACAGGGGCTGAGAGCCCTCCGGCACCAGGAATGGCCTGTGGCCCGGGCTCAGCCCTCACAGCACAGGCTCCTGAAGGCCATGACGGCCACCTGCCAAGCTCACCCACATGGTCACGGGGGGCCCACAGGGTGCATGGAAGCCCTTTGCATTCTGCAATTTTCACTAGACAAGACCCCAGAGTTGGTGACACCAATACCACCTTGGCCAAGTGGAAACTGCCTCAGAGGCCAGTCTTGCCCTTCCCCTCTGGAGGTTCCTGGAACCCCCCTGGGGCAGCAGGGGCAGCACAGGACAAGGATGGCTGGGGCATCTGGATCAGGTGGCATCGGGCCACCTCCGCCAGCCCTCACACCCACCTCTTGTCCCCGTGGCACACTTGGCACAGAGCTGTGACCCACAGGGTCCACAGCAAGTCACTGACGGAGCCAGGACCGAACGCATGCGAGGACAAGAGGAAGAGCGTCTAAAGGAGATGTGAGGCCTTGGCCAGACTCCAGCTGCGCTGACAGCACCCGAGAGCCGAGAGCCGCAACCCATGGGCCTGGAGGGCCGGGCTGGACAGGCCCCACCCCCGGCTCTAGGCTGCGGCCACTGAGCACCACAGTAGTCTTGCCCTTTGTAAGGTTAGTCCAGGCTCAGGGTGGGGAGCCATTTCCAGGGGAGCACCTCGGAAGGATGAGAGCAGCAGAGCCTGATGTCTGTCCCTGGGGGCCCAGCAGGAGGGCAGGCAGGAGACACATGAGGGACAACTGCTGGCCTCTCCGGCCATCTGCCAACCCACACCTTTAGCTGCCACCCCAAGCCCTGACCTGCTGCCCCATTCCCGAGGTCACCTCACAACAGACCCACCTTATCTTTCTCTGGCTTCAACCCAGAGCCCCAGGGGACCTCCCCATCCCCAGCTGGCATCAAAACAAAGGGTCAGACTCTGAACAAGACTGAGCCTTGTACAGTGGACAACGGCCACTAGGGGGAGTTCCCCAGGTGCCGGAGGCCACGAGAGCTGACAGCCAGTCACTGGTCAGGCCTCCTCATCAGCCCACCCGCCGGAGATAGCCCCGGACTCTGAGCCATATGGGCAGCAGGCGGTGGCCTGCTCAGATGCAGCCGTGAGCCCTGGGACCCGTGCCATCTGCCAGAACACAAACAGGCAGGCAGTAAAGACGATGGGGACACATGGTGGCTCAGGAGGAACGGCTCTGCCCTCACCCTTACCCTCAGACACAGCTCGGTCCTATCCAGGAACCAGCTCAAGCCCACGAAGAGGCGGGCTGCCTGCTGGACTAGAGAGTGCATCCAGGCTCCCTGCATAACTTCCCATCCCTGCTCCCGCTGGATTGCGGCCACTCCGGGCCTCCGCCCCCTGGGACTACCTATCCCCCCCCGCCCCCAGCATGCAGCACGGCTGCCTCACTGGACGTGTCTCTGGGTCTGAGCCTGGCTGAGGTGCCCCCGCCTGCGGGCCTCTCTGTGTCTGCTCTGCCCGGCGCATGGTGCCCTGTGACCAATGCTCGCCTCGCAGCCCACGCCTCTCCACCCAGTTCCCAAGCAGCTCAGGACGTGTGAGAGACCCACCGCGCAGCGTGGCAGGCGGCTCAGCCCAAGGCAAAGGCCTCACTGAAGGGGGCCCGGGGAGGAGCCGCCCCACCACGTTCCAGCCCAGCTTGCCCGCAGAGCTGGGTTCAGCCACGTGCTGACAGGACTCAGAAGGAGCCTCCGTGGCATGGCCCTGCTTTGAGGTCTCTGCACCGAGAAAACCATCACCCCTCAGTCACCCGTAGCTGTTTCAAGCAGAAGCAGCCCAGGTACAACCCCTTACCCTGTGGACATTAGGGGCCCAACAACCAGCAGCTCTGCAGTCTTGTGGCCAAACCAAGCCCAGCTCTGTGCTGGCCCAGCAACAGGGCGACGGGGCTCAGGGACCGCAGGAGCGGCAGTCAGCACCAGGACGCAGAGAGGGCACCCGGCCATCCCCAGGGACTTCTCACCTGCAGGAGGAAGCCCCTGGGGACAGTCAGACTGGTGTCACGCCCAGCAGGGCCACCCCGGTGCTCCTGTGGCCCCACCGCAGGCTCTGCCTGTCTCTGCAGCCTTGCAAACAGGCAGCAGCTCTGCTCTCACTAGAGCAAGACTTCCTAAGGATGACAGCGACAGCCTCTCCCAGGTAAGGCAGGCTGGAGCAGGAGGGCCCCACAAACGCCCTGAGCCCCAGAGGGCCCTGTCTCTACTTCACAGGAGCTGCAAGGAGACAGCCCAACGGCTCCCCGTGGCGGTCACCTCCGGAAAAGCAGGCCTGCCCAGGATGCCAGTGACAGCACAGGGACCGACAGCAGAAAGGACAGACCAGGAGAGGAGGAGGGGCTGAGCTCAGAGCGCCTGATCCCGAGAGCAGGCTGAGCAGGACGTGAGGGCGCCAGGAAGTGTGCCTGCGTCCCCAGCGGGGCAGCGGGAGGTGGGCCTGGAGCTGCCCCCTGAAGCGAATGACTTGAAGTGGGAAAGCAGAGTTAGGGGCGAAGGTGCTGGCGTGTAGTTATCATGAAGCCACAGATGGAAATTGTAGCAGAGAGACTCACGGTGAGTTTACGCTGGAGACAGATGAGCTGCGAGATACAGTACCTCGAGTTTGCTTTACAAAACTGCACATGCAAAAAACAAAACAGAACAAAAGTGAGAACACCAGAGAGAGTTCTAAGAGATGCCAGAACACGCATGAGCTGCATCGGGTCAGGACAGAGGCTCAGCGTGCATCCAGGCAGGAGGCCAGGGACGCTCCTGTCAGAACGACACCAGCCGAGACCTCGGGATAAAGGAGAAGTTGAGAGAGCGCACATCCAGCGGAGCAGCAACAGCCGTGGCTGGAGGGCAGGAAGGTCACCTTGAGCCGACCAACCAGCTCTGCGCCCACTGCCCCTGGAAGGGCAGAGGGCTGGAAAGAGCCGACCACCCAGCTCTGCGCCCACTGCCCCTGGAAGGGCAGAGGGCTGGAAAGAGCCGACCGACCAGCTCTGCGCCCACTGCCCCTGGAAGGGCAGAGGGCTGGAAAGAGCAGGCACCTCGTGCCCTGCAATTCCCAACAGCCCTGCTCTGTCGGACCTGGTGCCTCCAGCCCCCGACGCTGGGGACCAGTAACCCCTTCAAGGCGGAGCAGAGACGGCTGACACAGGGGCCTTACCTGCGTGCGGCCTTGCCTGGGCCTTGGTTCCTGACCACCATGCTTGGCCCCCAGCCAAGGCTGCCCAGGCTCTAAGTCACTGTCTCCCACTCAGCACCACCCTTCCCAGGTGCAAAGAGGTCCCATCACCAGCCCATCTTCCCTTGAGTGTCTTTCTGGAAGCTTTTCCAAAATCAATAGAGAGAAACCAGAGATCTCTTTATAGTCATTTCCCTTCAAGGTAGCTTCCCCAGGGGAAGACCAGATGGGTACCCAACTCTGCCTTCTCAAGGCTGAGTCGACAAATACATGAGAAGCTCAAAACTACTCACCTGCCTGCTGACCCTGCATGCAAAGAGGCACGTGTGTCCAAGAGACTGAGCAAAGCAGTGTGCATGACCCAGTGTGTGAGCCTGTGAGTGTGTGTGAGTGTGACTGAGACTGTGAACATCAAGAGTGGGTGTGAGTGTGAACATGTGTGCAGGAGGGGCCATGGGCACCAGTGCTCCTGAGGCTGATGCAGCCGAGAACTCGAACGACCACATCGGCCTGAGTGTCCCCACTCCAAGGAGCCTGAGAGGACTGTCCCCTGCAGCAAAGCACACCGGGGTCCCCAGGGGGGCTCCAGGGACTCGGGCACATCGGCCTGAGTGTCACCCCTCCAAGGAGCCTGAGAGGACTGTCCCCTGAGGCCACACACACTGGGGTCCCACGAAGGCTCCAGGGACTCGGGCAACCCCCTCAGGAGGGGCCGGCGCAGAGTCTCGGGCAAGGTCCACGGAGCCCCTCAAACATCAGAGACACTAAAGCTGCCCCGAGCACCCGAGGCCCACAGAGCACATCTCGGCAGGCCCTATCTCACAAGCCACACAGCACAGCTCGGGGAGCAAGTTTGGGCGGGAACACCCTGTCCCCCTACCTCAGCAGCTCAGACAGAGAAGCGACCATGAGAGGCTGGTGCTGCCCGCAGAGCGGGAAGCCAGGCAGATGGACAGACGGACGCGGGAACAGCCGTCTCGGGGAGGCCCCACCCTCAGACGCCTCAGCTGACGGAGGAAAAGTGAGCAGCCACGCAGAGGCCTCACCCCCACCCCCATGCCTGGGGCCAGACCTCCTCCAGGAATTGGGACCTCAGGGGTCACATCAGAGCCCCTGCGCATGCACCAGAGGTGGGCTGAGGACCCAAAGCTGCATTCTGGGTGGGCCTGCAGGACCCACAGGAAGACCCAGGGGCCAGCACCTGGACACACCCCAGGCTGGCCGCGGCGTGGACAGGTCGGCCCTGAGCTCGGGGCCTGCTGTGAGGGGAGCACCAAGTGTCCCCAGGCCCTGGGGCCGGAGGTCCACAGCCTGGTTCCTGCGCAGCAGCGTCCTGAATGGGGCGGGGCGGAGAAACAGGAAGGGCGCCCAGCCCTCCCTTTCTGATGTCCAGACAAGCTCCCTGTGGCTGTGCCAGGGACCCCTCCTCTCTGGGGTCTCTGCCCAGGTGGGGGTGGGTGCCCTGCTGCACATTCCCAAGGAGCGGGCAGCACTGGCCAGCAGCAGGGGACACAGGACATCGCAGTCCCCTCCAGAACAGCAGGAAGGCAAACGGCACACAGAAACCATACAAGGCCCACGTGAATAAACTTTGGCCAGCCACCACCACGTCCTCCATGCAGACTGCCAGCAGCTTACACAGTTTGGGAGAAGAGGCTGTGACAGGAAGTCACCAGGGTCACTGTAAGCCCAGGACCAAGCAGACAGAGCCGGTACACTGGCCAAACAACAAGACTCCAGGACTGCTGGGCACCAAGGCCCCAGCAGCTGGCGGAGTGGTGGCAGCTGTGTCCTGCCTGGCTCCCTGCAGGCCCCTGGCCCCCTGCCTTCACTTCCAGGGCCTGAGACCTCCCTTTGCTTCTTCTCCCCCACAGGCCACCACTTTCTGGTCACCTTAGAGACAGGACCTCTGCAAATGCCCTCCTAGAAAACAGGCCATGGCCCTGTGACATCCAGGTGAGACCAAGCTGCTAAGATGACCCTCACCCATGCATGTACACACTTGCACAGACTCATCCCCCACCAGAGCACTCAGCACTGACGCCTGCATCACCACGGAAGGGCCTGAGGCTGCTCCTGGCACTCTGACCTCAGTCAGCACAGCAGAGGGGCGCAGCTGCAGAGCGAGGGCCAGATCTGCACCGGGAGCCGGAGGGGCCGTGGGGTGGTGAGTGTGGGGCTGGACACAAGACTGGTAGCTCCAGGTGGACTCAGTCTGGCCCCAAGCCCCTCTGTGCTCTCTTGCGGTTACCCAATGACCAGACACTGGGCCAGACTGTCCCACCTCCTTCCCAGGGGCCAATCTTCCCCAGCCACTGCAGTTTTTGGCCCTGGGCTGGGTGCTCTGCCCCAACTCTGAAGTCCATAACACAGCAGCAGTGCTTCTGCAAGGTGCCTGGAGGCTCCACAGAAGTCTCAGCCCCACCTGACCTCCTCTCATCAGAGGGGCCACCTCTTGACCTCTGTCCCAACACCAAAAACTCAAAGATACTTTTGGAAACTGCGTTAAGACTCTTGGGCTGCTGAAGTACTGTGTTGAATCTTTCGCCTCACAAAACACATTTCTGAAAAACTGAGCCTAAGTCAGACATACTAATTCCTTGGAGCTGCCTGAGACTGTCCAGGGGGACCGCCTTCAGCAGGCCACTCCCACCCACAGCACTGCCACCCCTTGCTCTCATCCCAGCAGGGAGAAGCCAGAGGCTCTACCTCATGGTCTCTTTGCTCAAAGGCCCCTGCCGGGGAGGAGAACCACTCCCCCCATCTCAGCTCCTGGGGAGGGCTATGTCCTAAGAGGCTCCAGTCAAGGCAAGGGCCCCTCTCTAGAAGCCCCAGGAGGAGCTGGGCTCTGCAGCAGCCCTGCCACCACCCCACAACCCACTCCTAGAGCCTTACGCGGCAATGGAGATGTTCGCAGCAGACATGGGGCTGACTTCAGCCACTTCTTTGGCCTTTTGCAGAGCAAGCTTCTGATTGGCTGCTTCTTCCATCTCCTCTTCGTCCTGTTTGGACAGACAGAAAAGTGTAGCTAGCCTGTGAGTGCTGTGTCCACTCTGAGGCTCCACAGAAGGCTTGGCCCCACCTGACCTCCTCTCATGCCACCAGCTCTTCATCCTAGAGCCTCTGAGTCCTTCTGCCCCCTAAGCCACAGGCCAGGCAGCTAGCTCCTGCCTCAGCACAACCCACGCAGGCTCCAGACCCTCCTGCTATGCCCATCTCTGCAGGCGACAGTCCGCAGTCAGCACCCTTCGCAGCACGCTCACCGCTGACAGTACCGCTCTGGAGCCCCAGCCCAGGAGCATATTCCTGCACGTCAGTCTCTTTCCGTTGAAATGCAAACCCACCTCTCTATTCCCACCTGCCCCCTCCTGCCTCCCCCCAACAGTTGTCACACTGGAACGAAGTCTGTCTCTGCCCCCAGACCAGTGAGCCAGCGCACGGGACAGCTGGCCACCCTGAGTCTGGGTGCCCCTCAGCACCGCCCACGGGAGCCCTCCCCAAGAGTGTTTAGCAGGGCCACCTCATGACCCCAGAGCTTCTCCGCCCGGACCTACTGGGTCACCCCCGACCACCGGTCCCCGGCGCTGACTGTGCCTGGCCACGGGCTCCATTCCTCACTGAGCTCCTGGAGGAGAGCCCCAGGGCTCTCTGCCTCTGGGCTGGCATGTGACACCTGAGCAGACGCCTTGCCCCGCCTCTGCCCACCCCACATGGGGGAAGACGGACCCTCCAGCCCCAAGCCCACATCACCAGGCAAAACCAAAATGCTCTGCTCCTCAGATCTAGATAAAGAGCTCTAGGCTGAGTCTACAGGCCCACCAGTCTCCGTGTGGTCCAGCTACATCACTGGGACCACCCTTATTTCCCCCATTACCCCAACCCCAGGCCCACCTGGCTCCTCTGGAAGCTGGCATTCCCAACACATCCCAAACATCCTTAAATTTGCTTTTAGGGGCACAGTAATGGCAACTAAGCCCCTGTGAGCTGTCTGTACATTTCCCACCATAGAGAAGAAAGCTTCCAGCTTCAGGCCCCAGAGGGCGGCAGAACTAGACCTACCACGAAGCCCCCGAGGGACGCCCCTCCTCCAGCTCCGGGCTCCATCCTTGTTTATGGCCCTCAAGTCACTCCAGTGGGTGTTCTACAAACTTGACATGAGTTTATTTCCACTTCAAAAGACAAGTGACACCACCGTGTATTAGTGGGAGTATGAAGGAGGGAGCACCAAGCCCCACTCTTTGGGACCCTTGGCCAGCCCAGGAGTGCCCAGAGCCTGACACAAACAGGCCTCCACTTCCACCTCCAAAAGGGAGAAAATCCCTGAATTAGGGCAGTTTGTCCAAAGGGGCCACCACCCAGGGTGTCTGGGCATGGAGACAGGAGCCCAGGACATGACCTGTCAATATGTCCTCCCACTGACAACCTTGAAGGGGCAGTGAGAACTTTGACCTCAAGCTCAGGACAGCTGGTGCCAGATCACCAAGGCTACTGGGCAGCCCTGGTTCACGTGGCTCCAGGAATCCTGAGACCAGGAGTGCTCTGCGGCTGCACCGGCCCCCCAGCCAGGGGCTTGGGCCGCTCTCCAGCCGCTCCTGGATTGCGAGATTCAGTCCAGCAACTGGCTGACAGCAGGAATAGGAAGGCCAGGGGGATTCCCGAGCCTCAGAGGAAGGGAGGGGTCCAGACCCACAGGCACAGCCCCGCCCAGTCAAGCAGAGGTAGAGGCGGGCGCACCCACGAGCCCCTGGGGGAACATTCTTCCCGGGGGGCCAGGTGGGGAGGCAGGGCCCCTGCACAGCGTGCGCTGGCAGGAGCACTTGGGCACCAGAGTCTCTGCGGCCTGCCGAGACGTCCAGAGCCCAGCTTCCCCAGGGGAGACCCAAGTCAAGCCCCAGAGCAAGGACAGTGTTAAGAGTCTTTGGATGTGCAGGACTGAGTGGGTACAACACAAGCGGTAGGCTGTCAGGGACAGCGGGGGCAAGCGTACAGACAGACACACAGGTGTGCACCCAGGCACACGCACACAGACAGCAGGTGTGTGCCTGTGAGGGTCAGAGCGTCCTCAGGCCTCTGGACCACAGCCCCTCCGGGCCAGCAGCCAGGCTTGTCAAAGCGCCAGCCCGAGGCTGAAACGGCGGGCGGCCGGCACCGTCCGGGACAGACAGCATGAGAGTAACCGGGCAGGGGCTGCGTCATCTGGAGGGACGCCACGGGGAGGCATGTGTGATCATATCCCCCACAGGCTCAGGGATGCGAGACGACTATCAGCTGGCTCCCGCGGGGCACAGCCTGGACAGAAAGCCATCCCGCTGGGTGCGGACGTGCTGGGAACAGACACCAGCTGCTCCTCCAGCCACCAGCCGGGCCCAGAATCCAAGGGCAGCACCACACAAGGGCCACTCGAGCTCAGCCATCCACACAGGAAACCAAACACAGGGGCCCCCTCACCTCCCAGAGAGGATCACAGGGTCCCCTCAGCATCTGGGGATGAACATAGGGGGCCCTCCCCTCCCGGGGATGACCACAGGCTGTCCTCACCACCCAGAGATGACCACAGGGTCCCCTCACTGCCCTTTAGGGTGTTCAGACCAGATGTCCCCTAGGGCCCACCTCATGATGGCTCGCACTCTGAGAGGACACGGCCCCCACTTCACACAGTGAAGCCACAGTGCCCTTCGATCCTGAGACCAGGGCAGCCCGCATCCCCATCATCCAGGTCTGCCTGTGGGTTGCATCTCCTGTGGGCCACCTCCTGCTCCCACACCACCTCCTGTTTTTCTGGTCATCCTTCCCAAGTCTTGACCTACCAGAAGTGGCCCTCACGGTCAGTCCCCTTCCTGGCATGGTGCACCCTGCCTCTTCAGTGCCCCCACACCCCTGCATGTCCAGGACTTGAGGAGAGCCCCTGGACAGTGGCCACACATTCCTAAAGCAGGACCTGGCCCCCCTCATGACGCCGCAGCCTCTCCAGAGTGATGTGGATTGACCCCCATCCACCCATCCCTGGGCTGCAGGTGCGTACCTTGGTCAGCTCCTGAGCATTGGCAAGGTTGTCCACGGCGATGGCCAGGAAGACGTTCAGCAGGGTATCTGGGGGCTCCAGCTAAGGAAGGACGTCTATGCCCCAGCCTCCCCAGGGTCAGGCCATGGCTCCCTCCATGCAACACAGGGGCCCATCTCCCCAGGTCCTGGCCAGCCTTGCCTCCTTCCTTGGTGTCCCCTGATCCCCCAACCCTCCAGCCATGTCAGCCCCCATCAGACATAGCCCAGCCCAGCTGCTAGGCAGCGGCCCCCTAGCCTCCTTGATGCAAATCTCTGGGTAGGTGACCTTGTAGCTCAGGCCCCCCTGTCAGGCAAGGAGGTATTAATACCCTGGGACTCAGGGGGAACCACAGCCCAGGGTTCCGCCTCATGGACGAACCTATGCAGGGCTGCAGCAGGCCCACAAGACAGCACACTGAGGTCAGCTGCAGCTTCCTGGCATTGACCGCAGCTGTGGGTGACCCAGAAGCCTCGCCACGCCCAGAAAGCAGGATGGAGGTCATGCCCCTTGGAGTCCAGTCGCAGGGAAACACTCCAGTCAGGCAGGATGGGGGCACCCGCTGCAGAGCCTCCCCAGCTGGGCTTGCCCTGACCCTGCAGAACCCCCACCCGACTCCAGACACAAGCCTGAGGAGCATCCGCCACACAAGACCTTGCCTTGTGCTTCCCTGCAGATTCATTTCTACCAGGGAGAGGTTTTTTAAAAGCTTGGTGCCAAGACCTAATTATTAATTTAAATTAAAGTGAAAGCAAAACAAACAGCTGCCCTCAAGCTAAAAGCCCACGTCTTTCCCCCAAGTCCTCCCTTCCTACCCCACCAAGGTGGGGGAGGAGGAGAGGGACCCAGGAGGCACCTACCCCCTCACCCAGCCCACAGAGGATACAGTTCCCAAACAGCGTCAGGACGATGAAGTACACGGACGAGAACATGCCCTTGCTAACTCCACCTTGCGATTCGATCCCATGGTACATCACCGCGTTCCAGTCCTCCCCGGTCAGGATCTGCAGAGGAAGGGAGGGAGAGCACCCAGGCACGTCCACAGCCACCGGCGCCCACACGCATGCCCAGGGAGAGACGGCTGAGCCCAGGGCACACGTGTGTGCACACACAGCTTCTTGGGTGACACTCGAGGTAGCCCAGGGGCCTCCAAAGAAACTTCCAGAAGGGCCGTTGTGGCTGCTGGGCTGAGTCTCCGCCAAGAATGGAAAGGGAGCTCTCCGGAGAGAAGGCGAGCAAGGGCAAGGAGGCCAGCCTTGGGCTGCCTGGGGTCCGCCAGGCGGGCTTCCGCGTCCCAGCTGCCAGGCCGCTGCAGCACAGGTGAGGAACCCAGGGCTCAGGGGGGCGTGAGCTCTCAGGGCCGGACAGCAGCTGCGGCCTCTGACCCTCCAAGCAGCTACCTCCCTCAGGCCAGTGGGTCCAGGCTACGAAGGCGGCTACACGCAATCCTTGCCCCATCGGGAAACGGGTCTCGTTTTCCATTGTATTTTGGAAAAGTGCAAGGGGATAAGATAACAGACTTTCATGCATCCACCACTCAAGATGGAGACTGCTGACATTTTGTCATATTTGCATCAGGTCCCACCGCCCATGATCAACCTTGACAGGCAACCACGATCACGAATCTGGGGTGCATTCCCATCTACACAACACACATGTACACACACAAAATATACCATGTGTGCTCTAAACATGCAGAGAAAAGTGTCAGACTACATACACCACCCTGTTCATTCACTGTTGCATCCTTGAAGTTGGCCCACGTGGACACGTAAGCCCACTGTTCCTGGAAAGCGCTGCATAGGGCCCTTCCACACGTTCACCCATCTTCCTGACTGGCACTTTGAGGTTTTGCCAGTGTGCCCCACTGTGTGCATGAAGTTTGTATAGAACTGGGCCTGCTGGATCATAGGTTCTGCACATTCTTGATTGAACTAGATGTTTCCAAAGCGCTTATCCCAAATTACTGTCCCATCAACAACTCAGGCTCTGTCTTCCTCACACCCTCGTCCCAAACTGAGCACCGTCACACCCTTTGATAGCTTCCAGCCTGCAGGGTGAAGAGGCAGCCAGTCAGGTGGGACCTCTGCTCAGATCTCCTTTCTGTGGCCCTTTCAACTCTTCGGCTTATATTTCTCGTGACTCATCTTTTCTTACTGACTTCCATATGTATATTCTTTTCTTTTCCAATTAAAATAAATAAATTAATTTAAACAAGAAGTAAAGTGAGTCTTGCATATGCCAGTCCTCTGTCTCCAGCGTCTGCTGGAGAAATCTGCTGTGTCCTTTTGCTTTTAACTAATTTGTTGAATTATTAAAAAGTTTAATGAAGTCAAATATATCACTCTTTCCCTTATGGTTTCTGCTTTTTGCCTCTTAAGAAGTCCCTCTCCATCCCAAGGTCATGACGAATTTTCCTACATTTTCTTTGAGTCATTTTAAAATTTGGTTTCTAGATCTCTAATTCAACTGGAGTTTTTGTGCAGTGGTTACATTCTGTCTACCATGGGGATGAAGATCGACTTTTCTCCCACACAGAAGGCTCGTTTTTTGACCATTCCACCCCTACTGCCCACTCCACCCATCCCCCATTGATTTAAACACCATCTTTTTAATATGACCAACTTCCTACAAAAGCCTGGGCATGTTTCTGGGCTTCCTAGTCTGTTCTCTGATACTTTGTCTTTAGACTTTAAAATCTTCATTATGGTAGCTCTATAGTAAGTCTTGATACACAGTGGGGCAAATCATTCCACCTTGAATTGTCTTTGCTATTCTTGGATATTTACTGTCCCATAGAATCAACATGCTGAATTCCAAGAGAAGTCCTGTTGGGATTTGAATCACTGATTAAATTAGGGAGAACTGATCCCTTTACAACAGTGAGGCTTCCCATTTAAAGACATTTGTTTTCAGTTCTTCAGGTCTTTTAATAACACGTTATAATTTCACATGTGGAAGTCTTGCATATTTCTTGTGGATGTATTTCTGGGTAACTCATAGCTTTTATAATTACTGTAAGTGAAATCTTTCATTTTAATTGAATATTCTAATTTATCGATACAGGTACATAGAAAAGCTCTATCTTTTGAATGCTCCTCTTGTGTTCAGCAGCACTGGTGAATTCCCTTATTATTTCTAACTGATTCTCTGGGTTTCTATGTAATCACATCATTTGTCTATTCCTTTCCAGTCCTCCTACCTCTTCCTTTTTCTTATTACATTGACTTCAACTGCCTGAATACTAGCTACCCTTGGTTTCTATTTAGTCATAATGCTGTCAACCAGTATTAGTCTGAGTTCTCCAGAGAAACAGAAGCAATAGGAGATGTCTGGGTATGCCTTATCTTGTGATTATGGAGAGTAAGTCCCAAGGCCCACAACTGACTGGGAGAGATGACAGTGTAAGTTTCAGCCCAAATCTGAGTCCAAGGGCAAGAGAAACTGAATGCCCCAGCTCAAACATATTTGGGCAGCAAGAATGGACTCTCCCTTACTCAGCCCTTTGCTCTACTCAAGCCTACAGTGGACTAGATGAAGCTCCCACATCTGCTTTCTCAGTCCTCCAATTCAAATGTTCATGTCATCCAGAAACACCGTCATAGACACACCCAGAAATAGTGTTCAATCTAGGCACCCCATGGTCCAGTCAAGTTGCACATGAAATTCACCATCAACAATCTTTTATCTGCAATGTTTGCTATGGTTGTTCTAAAATAACAGTTTTATTTAGATATAGTTCATTCAGTTGCTCAGTCGTGTCCAATTCTTTGCGACCCCTTGAACTGCAGCATGCCTGTCCATCACCAACTCCTGGAGCTCGCTCAAATTCATGTCCATCGAGTCGGTGATGCCATCCAACCATCTCATACAGGTATCCCCTTCTCCTCCTGCCTTCAATCTTTCCCAGTACCAGGGTCTTTTCCAATGAGTCACTTCTTCACATCAGGTGGCCAATGTATTGGAGCTTCAGCTTCAGTCCTTCCAAAGAATATTCAGGACTGATTTCCTTTAGGATGGATTGGTTGGATCTCCTTGCAGTCCAAGGGACTCTCAAGAGTCTTCTCCAACACCACAGTTCAAAAGCACCAATTTTTCGGCACTCAGCCTTCTTTATGGTCCAACTCTCAAATCCACACAGAACTACTGGAAAACCATAGCTTTGACTAGAAGGACCTTTGTCAGCAAGGTAATATCTCTGCTTTTCAATATGCTATCTAGGTTGGTCATAGCTTTTCTTCCAAGGAGTAAGCGTCTTTTAATTTCATGGCTTCAGTCACCGGCTGCAGTGATTTTGGAACACAAGAAAATAAAGTCTGTCACTGTTGCCACTGTTTCCCCATCTGTTTGCCATGAAGTGATGGGACCGGATGCCATGATCTTTGTTTTTTGAATGCTGAGTTTTAAGTCAACTTTTTCACTCTCCTCTTTCACTTTCATCAAGAGGCTCTTTAGTGCCTCTTTGCTTTCTGCCATAAGAATGGTGTCATCTGCATATCTGAGGTTATTGATATTTTTCCCAGCAACCTTGATTCCAGCTGGTGCTTCATCCAGCCCAGCATTTCCCATGATATGCTCTGCACGTAAGTTAAATAAGCAGGGTGACAATATACAGCCTTGATGTACTTCTTTCCCAATTTGGAACCAGTCCGTTGTTCCATTTCCATTTCCAACTGTTGCTCCTTGACCTGCATACAGATTTCTCAGGAGACAGGTAAGCCGATCTGGTATTCCCATCTCTTGAAGAATGTTCCACAGTTTCCTGTGATCCACACAGTCAAAGGCTTTGGTGTAGTCAAGAAAGCATACGTTTTTCTGGAATTCCACTTTTCAATGCTCCAATGGATGTTGGCAATATGATCTCTGGTTCCTCTGCCTTTTCTAAATCTGGAAGTTCACGGTTCACGTATTATTGAAGCCTCGCTTGGAGAATTTTGAGCATTACTGTGCTAATGTGTGAGATGAGTGCAATTGTGTGGTAGTTAGAACATTCTTTGGCATTGCCTTTCTTTGGGATTGAAATGAAAACTGACCTTTTTCAGTCCAGTGGACACTGCTGAGTTTTCCAAATTTGCTGGCATATTGAGTGCAGCACTTTAACAGCATCATCTCTTAGGACTTGGAATAGTTCAGGTGGAATTCTATCACTTCCACTAGCTTTGTTCATAGTGATGCTTCCTAAGGCCCACTTGACTTTGGACTCCAGGATGTCTGGCTCTAGGTGAGTGATCACACCATCGTGGTTATCTGGGTCATGAAGATCTTTTTTATATAGTTCTTCTGTGTATTCCTACCACTCTTCTTAATATCTTCTGCTTCTATTAGGTCCATACCATTTCTGTCCTCTATTGTGCCTATCTTTGAAATGTTCCCTTGGTGTCTCTAATTTTCTTGAAGAGACCTCTAGTCTTTCCCATTCTATGTCTTCCTCTATTTCTTTGCATTGATCACTGAGGAAGGCTTTCTTATTTCTCCTTACTTTTCTTTGGAACTCTGCATTCAGATGAATATATCTTTCCTTTTCCCTTTTGCCTTTCACTTCTCTTCCTTTCTCAGTTATTTGTAAGGCCTCCTCAGACAACCATTTTGCCTTTTTGCATTTCTTTTTCTTGGGGATGGTCTTGATCATGGACAGCCTCCTGTACAATGTCACGAACCTCTGTCCAAGGTTCTTCAGGCACTCTGTCTATCAGATCTAATCCCTTGAATCTATTTGTCACTTCCACTTTGATTTAGGTCATACCTGAATGGTCTAGTGGTTTTCCCTACTTTCTCCAATTTAGGTCTGCATTTGGCAATAAGGAGTTCATGATGTGAGCCACAGTCATCTCCCAGTCTTGTTTTTGCTGACTGTATAGAGCTTTTCCATGTTCGGGTGCAAAGAATATAATCAATCTGATTTCAGTGTTAGCCATCTGGTGATGTCCATGTGTAGAGTCATCTCTTGCATTGTTGGAAGAAGGTGTTTGCTGTGACCAGTGTGTTCTCTTGGCAAAACTCTGTT